ATCGATATCATTATACACATAAAAAATACAACACTGATTTAGGATAATTAACAAATTATCAAAATATACACAATCCTTTAGTAAAATACAAATATTCATCTAATTACATAACTCGATGATATCAGGGCACACCTCTTGTGAAACACATACATCCCTCGTTAATAAAAAAATAAATTGATATTTAATTTAATAAAAGTATCGTAGTTGAGTAAATATTTTAAATAAATTTTGTAATTTCAAAATATCACTTAATATGTGGCTTTTTAGCCTTTTCAACGTGTGAATTAATGATTGAGCTTCCTAATTAAGATTGATTTGTATTGTGTTAACATTTTCTTGATAATAGTCGTTAAGAAAATAACTTAAAACAAGAACATATAAAATCATCAGAATTTTTTATATAGAAAATAACAAAAGATATTATACTATTTTATTTGTATACCTTCCCATTCCAATTTTCAAAATTTCAAACACACGAGACGAGGAGATAAGAATCCTGGAACCATGACCCACACGCTTTTGATGCAAACTGTCAGCGTGTGAAACATTCTCTCATTTTCCTAATACCTTAAATTGCACAATTAGTGCTACAGATTTTGTCAATAATAAAATAGGCCACTAAAAATAAAAACTATTACACAATTGGTCCATCTCGAAGGTCTAAATATAGATAATTATAAAGAGAAACTCGGTTGTGGTAGAATAAACTTTTGGATATAATGTTTCGATCTAGTTATGCTTTCATAGTTCTTAACTTGTAATGATAAACGTACAGATTTCGAATAAGATGATACTTAGAAGACGATGCAAAAAAGTAGTTTGAGTACTTGCTAGATTTCAAATAAGACGATCAAAAAAGTTATTATTACGTAGGTGGTATACATATTTTTATAACGGCCGAATATATAAAAATCATGTTTTAAATAATGTTAAGTGTGATTTTGTAGATAATGTTAAGTCTTAAATTTTTATAAGCCATGAAGAGCCACGCCGTTTCTAAGATATGATTTAAGATGACAATTTTGTATGTGTGTGTATATATATATATATATATATATATATATATATATATATATATATATATATATATCTATATATATATATATATATATATATATATATATATATATATATATATATATATATATATATATATAACTATCTTACAAAAGAAATCTAATTATTTCTAAAATAGATTGATTATAATAATATTATTCTTTTAAAGACGTTCAAATGATAAAGCTGATAGTACAAGTAACCATTAATAAAATAATATTAAATTTTAAACCACATTTTGAATTCAAATATTTATCATCAAATCCCCTTATATTTCTCAGCAATTTGATATGGTTTCCTAAAATCTCGAATTCATTCAAATTTTGAATCCTTTTAGATATTCTTAAATTTAGCATGCTGATTCAAATATCCCTCCAATCGTATATACCTCTTTGTTCCCTTCTCTGCTATAAAGCCTACCGTTCAGGAACAAAAAAAGACTTCATCTCCCAAATAACACCATAATTTGATTAT